TGGCTCCGGCGGGGGCGTCTGGAGGGCGCGGGCGGCCCCGCTGACGCCCGCCGCCTGCCCGGAGCGAAGCCTTCGGGAGCCCCCCGGACGGGCGGGGACCCCGGCGCCCATCATCCCCAGCCCGGCGGGCCACAGCCTCCCGCCCGCCCGGGGGCCCTGGGCGGGTGCTGGGACGGGCCATTTCCTCAGCGCGCCCGGCGGCCGAAGTTCCCAGCGCTGCCGCGGGGGGGGGCGGCCAGAGCACGGCCGCTCCTGTGCGTGGCGCGGGGCGGCGGGAGGTCGCCCTCCCCGGGGGGCCCCGCTCCGCAAGGCAAGGCAGCCCCCCGCAGTGCCGCGGGTGACGGCGAGGTGGGCTGCCCGCCCCGAGCGCGCCGTGCTGGGCAGAGCGGCCGTGCTCTGGCCGGCAGCTGGCGCGAGGTCGGGGAGTCCCGGCTGCCGCCCGGAGGACGAGCCCCGCCGCCCGCCTGGGGGGGCGCAGTGCCGTCCGCGGCCGGGGCAGCTGTGCAGTCGGCAGCGACCGGCTCCGGGAGCTCTCTGGGCGGTCGCGCGGAACTGGCGGGCCTTTCCCCGAGCCAAGTAGCTCGAAATCCCCTGGAACGGCGCCTCGATGGACCCATTCCTGCCTCTCCCCCACCCCAGGAGCCCAGGACCGCTTGCACAGCCTCCTTGTCCTCGCAACAACCCCCCTGTGAGGTAGGCCAGGCTGCGAGGCAGCAGCTGGCCCAGGGAGCCGCCGAGCCCATGACTGAGCACGCATTTGCACCCGGCTCCCGAGAGAGGGGCTGCCGCGAGCCACCCGCGCACGCTGCCCCCGTTCGGTTGCCCGCACGGGCAGCTGACGGGGGGGCGCCCCTCCTAGCCAAGTGGCGAGGGGCCGTGCCTCCCCGGGCCGCTCTGCTCTGCTCTGCTCTGGAAGGGCCCAGCTCGAGCTCCGCGGCGGCCATGGAAGGCGGGTGCGGAGCCTCTGTGCCGCGGCGAGCGCCAGGCCTCGCTGCATTCCACAGGGCTGGCGTCAGGCACGCCCGGCCCCTTCCAGTCCCCACCCTCGGCAGGGTCCTTGTGGCACATCCTGCGCTGCCCCAGCCGCTCTGGGGCTGTTCTTGCTTCCCGCCCGTCTCCTCCAATCCACCAGCCTGAAGTGCAGATCAGGGTAAGCAGAAGAAAACAAGAAACTGCTCGTTCCATGGAGAGAACTTGCACTGCTTGGGATCCGACAGTCCAGGGCTGTTTCCTCAGCAACGTGTCTCGTGGAGTTCAGTGGGGCCTGCTGCCGAACGAGGGTGTCTGGTATTGCCCCCAAAACATCAGCCATTATCTTATTTCATTCTGAAATGCTGGCTGTCCTTCTCCAGAACAGTTCAAGGCAGTTTACCAAAGCTCCTCACGGTTAATCGCAGTTTAAAGCAATCCAGAGGTGGAGAACAACATTTAAGAGCAAGCGAATCTGCTCCGCAGTGTGTTTGAAAAGAAACTGCATGTCAGGAAAGCTCCAGTTAGGTGTAATTTTGAGTTTGGACTGCCTCCCCCACCCCAGCCAACGCCCGGGGATAAAAATGGGGCCGGCGTGCATGTGCCCACAGGTGTGCTGAGCATCTGGCTCAGAGTTTGCTTGCAGTACTTCTAGATTGCATTTTGGTAAAACCCAGCAAGGTCAAAGTGAGGAAAAAATAGTGTGAAGTTAGATTATATTTTCCGTGTAGCCTGAAGCGCCTGATCCTGCCCAGTCTCGGAAGCTGGGCAGGGACAGGGCTGGGTGAATTCTGGATGGGAGACGTAAATGTCATGAGCTGTCTGGGCAGCATAGAAATGTAGCGTAGTAATAACACGAATTCTGCGATCTGCTGCTTTTGAAGGTGGTCTGCAAGCTGCGGCAGGTGCCACAGGTGGCCTCCAGACTGGCAGGGAGCTCTGGGGTAGCCCTGATTCTGGCCCGTGTCCGTTGCCCGCATGTTGCCAGGTTCCTGGCTGGCCAGATACTCGGGGCCTGGACACGAGGCGCACGGCCGTTTGCACGCAGATCATCCGCTGTGGTCTCTCATCTTCTCCTCTCCGCCCTTAGGAAAGGATGCGAGAAGGCGCTGGGGCTCTTCCATGATGAGCGAGGATGCTGAAAGCCGCCGGTTCGGCTCCCTGGAGGACGAAAGGGATTACTGGAGGGATCTGGCGGCCAAGTATAAGCAGTGGTGACTATCGCGCGTGGGTTCTCCCTGGGATCCGGAGCCGCCCCGCGTCCACTTCCACCTAAATGGCGCCCGTCTTTGTCCTTCAGCGCCGAGAATGCACAGGAGGAGCTGCGCGAGTTCCAGGAGGGGAGCCGGGAGTACGAAGCGGAGCTGGAGTTGCAGCTGCAGCAGGCGGAGGCCCGGAACCGGGAGCTGCTGGCGGAGAACAGCCGGTTGCAGGGGGAGCTCGAGGCAGCGAAGGTGAGCGGGCGCACGGTGGGAGGGGAAGGGACGAGTCCCGCGCTCGGCCGAGCTCCTGCGTAGAAGCCCAGGAAACACCGGGTGCAGCCCCCCCCCCCCCCCCCGGCCCGGGACTTGGCACAAAAGCCCGTTGGTGGCGGAGCCGGGAGGCGTCTGACAAGTGCCTCATTCATCCGCTCGCCCGGGCCAGGCCAGGCGCAGCCACGCGGTGCAGCCGGGCAGAGGAAGGACAGAGGGGCTCTTGATGCTCCGCTCCGCTCCGCTGCCTCGCGCTCGCTGGGAGCCCAGCCAGGGCAGCGCGAGAGGGTCCAGGCCTGGGCCCGCCTTTGCAGGGAGGCGAGGGGCTCCAGGGATGTGCTGAGCATCCGGGTGGCTGGCCTGGCCCTGGAAGGGCCACCCGGCTCACGCCGCGTCCCCGTGTGGCCGTGGAGCTCGTGGCCTTCACACCGAGGGCGCCGGTCCTTGCTCCGCCCTTCGGAGCGTGTGTCCGGAACGTGGCAGAGCCCAGCCAAGTCCTTGGGGGCCCCGTGGGAAGCAGGACGGCAGGGCAGCAGCACCCCTCTCCACGCTCCCGGCAGCTGGGGCGCCAGGCACGCTGCTTCTGTGACGGGGTGGCCCAGAGCCACCAGGAGGGGCCGTCGCCAGCAGCCTCCAGCTGCCTGAGGACGGTGACGGACGGCGCAGCCCGTCCCCGCAGTGCGAGGGACCTGCGGTCACCAAGAGCAGCTGCGCCAAATCCGGCCTTCGCCAAGCTACAGCCCTTCGCGGGAGCCCGCGGGCCGCATCCCGGCCGAGCGAGCGTGCAGGGAGTCGGCGGGGGGAGCCAAGTCGCTCTGCGGCAGCAAGGCTGATGCCCCGGCCGGCTGTCGCTCTGCCCAGGAGAAGGTCGCGGCCCAGCACTCCGAGGGCTCCCGGCAGATCTCCGCCCTGGAGGAGGAGCTGGCCCAGACGAGAGCCATCCGGGAGCAGCTGCAGAGGTACATCCGGGAGCTGGAGCAATCCAACGACGACCTGGAAAGGGCAAAGAGGTACAGGGGCACCGGCACAGGGCAGTCCCCGTGTGGTTGCGCTGGGAATCGACCCCGCCTGCCTCGAGAGCTGCCTCCCGTGAGCTGATTCCTGCCCCGTCCCCGTCCCCCCCAGGGCCACCATCATGTCCTTGGAGGACTTCGAGCAGCGCCTGAACCAGGCCATCGAGCGCAACGCCTTCCTGGAGAGCGAGCTGGACGAGAAGGAGAACCTCTTGGAATCCGCCCAGCGCCTGAAGGACGAAGCGCGAGGTGCGCAGGGGCCGCTCCTCCCGTGCTGGAGGCGTCTTTTCCTCGCGGCTGAAGAGCCTCCCCGGGCCGGGGCAGACGGGCCGTCCCTGCCCACCCGGTTGCGGGCTGCACCGCGTGACCTGGCCGGGGAGGGCTGAGAGCAGCGCATGCAGGGGCCACGGGCGACGGAAAGCAGGGGTCCCGCGCTGGAGGGCTGTCAGGGGACACTGTCGTGGCCAGAAGGACGACAGGCAGAGCTCGCTGCACGGCGGTCCGTGCACAGCGACGCATGAGCTCTCCTGGCACTGCCCTGGGCCCTGTCTCCCTGTCCCCCCAGACTGTCCGGTTCCTGGGGAAGAGAGCAGGTGGGTGCGTGGGAGGGGTCAGCGCAGGACGCACTCGGGACCCCCGGGAAGATTTCTCTAAGGCCGCCTTTCACGGCCGGCAGGCAAGGCTACACACCTCCTTTAGATGGGCAGCCGCGATTTACAAAGCCAGGCTGAAGTCTTTGATTTCCCCCGCCCCCCCGAATGCCGTGGCAGCTCCGTTAAAGCTTAAATTGGGGCCTTAAGCTGAGCCCAGAACACAACCGGCCCCCCGTGCGGATCTGTCAGTCCAGGATGGAGCCAAGCGCTTTCCTCGCGTAAAGGAGGGAGACGACCGTGGGCGGCCTCTAACCTGCCCGCTCTCTCGGCTAGATTTGCGTCAGGAGCTGGCCGTGAAGCAGAAGCAGGAAAAGAACCTGGCCTCGGTGGACGCTTTGCTGGAGTCGGAGCGAAGGGACACCGCCGTGCAAGCCACCCTCTCGGGGCCTTCCACTCCTGCGGCCCCTCGGGGGCCCGGCCTGGCCCTAAGTACCCCAGGGTCACTCCGACGAGGTGAGGGGTGATTGCACGGCCCCGCTTCCCAGGCTTTCAGTCAGAGCTTTGTCATGGCAGAGCCATGGGAGGCAGCCAGGGCCCATGGGGCGTGCTGCAGGACGCTTTAATGTGGCTGAAATAAATGTAACAAACCGCAGCTTGACCGGTACATGGTGGCAGCCAAGACTGTGGGGTGGGAGAGAAGCCATCATGAAATATCGCTCAGCCATGGACCTTCAACTGTTCATGGATTCCCAAAATAGTAGGGTTGGAAGGGGCCATGAAGGCCATCCAGTCCACCCCCTGCTGTTGCAGGACACCAGTCCACACCATCCCACTCAGAGGGCTGCCCGGTTTTGCTTTGAACGTCTCCCGTGTGTGTTAGCGGCCTTTGGTCTCTCTGCAGGAGAAGCCTCAAATGGGTGCGAGCTGGAAAGGAGAGAACAGCTTCTGAAACTGGGCACACTCTCAAACCAGTCCTTGAGGACTGGTAACTTGCTGTTTTGTCAAAAATGCAAATGTGTGTGGACACACACACCCCCGTGCATGCAAAGCTAATATTCGTGGGGCGCTGAATTCCGGACCCAGTGTCCGCTTCTCGGCTTGTGGGACGCTCCCGGCGCACCCTGTGAATTTGCCACGTGTGAATTGGAATACCCTTTTCTACAGGGTTTGAGGACAGCTACAGCGCCACGCCCCTCACCCCGGCGGCACGGATATCAGCCCTCAACATCGTGGGAGACCTCCTCCGGAAAGTTGGGGTGAGCTACGGGCCCTTGGCGTGGCTGTCGCGGTTCAGACCTCTCCCTGCGGGGCGGCCGAGGGCTCGGAGGAGGGCTGGGGGGAGACGGTCACCTGCACCGCAGCAGGCCTGACGCGGGACGGCTCTGGGCAGTCTCCCGCTTGCTTCAGTGCAGGAGGCAGCTTGCAGCGGGGCTGCGGAAGGGCCTTGCGGAACGAGGCTCAGACGAGGGTCCCTGGGGAGCCGCTGGGCCTGGGCCAGCCGGGAACCGCCGGATGAGGACTCTGGGAGCCGGCAGTTGGTCCAGAGTGTGCGTGGGGGGGGTTGGGGTCTGGGGTGGCGGGTTGTGTTAAACTCTGCCTTTGCTCCCAGGCCCTGGAATCCAAGCTGGCCTCTTGTCGAAATTTTGTGTACGACCAAACTCCATACCGAAGCGCCGTGTCCACGCCAGCGTGTTTCGGAAGAGACGCCTTCGAGAGGCGGCTGAGTGGCCCCTACGCTGCCCAGGGGTGAGTCTGCGCATCCCGGTTTCGCAGGGGGTAGGCAAGCAGGGCCGTCCCGCTCCATTCTGCCCCCGTTGCGGTCGGCGTCAAGGGGGCTTCCTGTTGCCCTCGCTACCTTCACATGAGACCCACGTCCAGCGGGCGATGGGGCGGCTCCCCAGCTGCATGGGGCTGTGATTCGCAGCCACCGTGCCGAGATGCTGGAGCGGAGCCAGAGGCCGGCCGGTGCGTCCGTGCGCTTTTCCAGCCCGCGCTGCTCTTCCGCCCCCGACGCGCTCGGTATTCCCTGCCCGTGGTGGCGCTCGTCTTGGGCGGGCCGCTTGGGCACTGCCCGCTTTCTGAGCCCCTGCGGCTGCCTCTTCCCCCCCAGAACACTTCCCGGTGGCACGTCCCCTCCCCTGTCCACCCCCACGTCTCACGGCTGTGCGTGTCCTGCCCGTCCGTCTGGAGCCGCGTTCGCAAGGCCGGCTGCTCTGGCTACGTGCGCTTGAGCCTCTCGCGAAGGCGGCCTCCGATGCTGAGCGGGGCAGGAGGGCCCCCCCGTGGCTGCTCTGTGCCAGCCCCACCTTGAAATCCGGAACGTGGGGGAGGCTGGCAGGCCAAGGGCAGAAGGCCGGGCCTCCAGCGGTGTGCCCGGTGTGGTCCCCCGAAGGAGCCGTGGGGCAGCGCCGGCTTCCCAGGCCTTCTCGCAGGAAGCCCAGCCCATCACCACAAAACCACGAGGACGGGGACACCGGTGGGGAGAGCTGGCATTTTGGCCCACCCTTTGTGCGTTCCCGTCCTCCTCTCTTCATCAAGGGGTGGGCGGCCAAGTGTGCTCTGAAGCCCCTGCCCGGATCATCAGCTGTGGCTGATGGAAGTTGCAGTCCAAAGCCTCCGGAGCCCCTGGGCGCCCACCCCCGGTCTGGGGCGCGCGCCCGCTCACTCGCGCCCCCTTCCTCCCTGTGCTGCAGGTTGGCCAAGCGGCTGGAGTTCGGGGGCCGGCCGTCTCCCCTCCCGGGGCCGGCCGGCCTGCCTCCTCACGGGGTGGTCCAGATGCTTCTCTGAGGTGCCCCCTTCGTGCGGACGCTCGTTCCTTGGCCGGTCTTCGTGGGACACGATCACCTGGACGGCCACTCTCTGGAGGCCGCGGGCGGGTGGGCCGCGGGAGGCCGCGGGGTGGGAGGCCGTGGGCAGGGCCGGCTCGCTGCTTCCATCCCTCTGGGGCTGCCGGGCTGCCGTGTCTGGCACAGGCGGGCAGCCTGCCCTGCAGGCCTTGTGCTCTCCGCCAACGAGGCGACGGCGCCCGAGCCCACCGTGGAATGGACCCGGCTGCGAGGTCCGCCGCTGGAGAGCGAGGGAGTCGCCTCCTGTGGGCGCGAAGACTTGGCCCTCCTGTGACGCGGACTGTGCGCCCCCGCCTCGCCCGGGTTCCTCCTGGGGGATGCTGCTCACCTCCGTCCCTCCCTGCACCGGCCTCGCACGTCTGCAGCTTTCTAACATGGGGAGCGCCGGCCGTGTGATCAACACAAGCGGCGGCCGTTCTTATTCTGGTGCAGCGGAGTCCGGGGTTGGGTGTCGCTTTTACCCGTGTTGGCGGTTTAAAGGTGCCGGCCCCTGGATGCCGCTTCCGGCTGTGCCTGCGCAGATCGGTGCACGCCTCGCGGGAGGACCTCTGCCTCAACCCCTTCCGAGGTGCTGGGAGCCCTCCGAGGACCTCCACCAGGATGGGGCCCCGTTTGCAACCCGTGGCCGGCTGCTCCGGGATGCTGCGCACGGAAAGAGCCCTTTCGGCCCGGTGTCGGCCTTGGTGCCGCTCCCAAAGGAGCCCCCGGCGCAGCAGGCCGAACCCCCTCTCGTTGCTCAGCCCGCCTCCCTTCAGACCTCTTGGTGCCCGCGTGAAAGGAGCTTCCCCAGCCTGTGCTGGCGGGCAGACGAGCTCTCAGTGTTGTCGACTGTGGGGTTTCGATTGGACATTTCTTCGGGGGCAGGAGCCGCGTGACACTCGACCGAGGATGTGCCCTGCACATATGGACAAGGTAGCATTTCCTGCCTGCTCTCTGCCTTTCCACCCAGGTGCTCTGGTTGCCCAAGCTAGTGCCTTCCAGATGTGCTTGACTACACCTCCCATCATGCTGGAGAACAGCTGGTCAGGGAAGACTGTTCCCTAGTGATGAAAATGACCCCCCCCAGCCTCTTCAATCCCTCGACCCTTTTCCCCTCTTTCGGCAGGAAAGGGCAGGGACCACCATTCTGTGCATTTCACAGTCCAGTGCCGAGTCCCTGTTTCTCGAGGCCCGGGAAGCTCCATCAGGAAAAGCCGCCGGGCGTTCCCAGGAAGGACCTTTCAGCAGGGAGCAGTCCTCTAGCCCTCGGTGCAGGCGGGTCACCTCCCGCGGGAAGAGCACCCCCCCCTTCTGCCCGCGCAGGTTCCACGCAAAGGCTGGGTGATTTCTAAACCTTTATTGGTGTGTGAAGCACAATGACAGCGGATCCGCTCCGTTTCCATCCCTCCCCCCATTCGAATGACGTGGCGAAGGAAGGCACTTTGGCCTTGTGGACTGCGCTGAGTTGGGTGCCGCATCCAGAAGGAAAATCGGAGTGGGAAAGGCAGCGGGACGGGGCGGGAGGCCGTGGCTCCCTCGGAGGGGCCTCGGGTCTTCGGCTTTGGGCATCCCCGAGTGCCGCTTTTTACCTCGCAAAGTGCAGCCGTTCTGAAGTGACTCCCGGAGAAAAGGCGATTCCGCAACAGCTAGGGGTGTCCGTGTCTACACTGGAGTAAAAGGCAGCTGTGCTCGGATCGGGTGCCATGGGGGGCACGTGGCTTTAGGATAAATAAAGCGGCGTACAGTGCTGCGACCCCCTCTTTTCTAGTAGGATTTCTTTGGCTGCAGCGTTGAAAATGGGCAAGCGTGGCGTTCTATTCACTGGCTTTTGTTCCGTTGAAATCGCCGTCGCGGGCATCGACCTCCTCCTCGGAGCCCTCGGCGGCATTTTCAATCACGCGCCTGCCCCCGCCGCCGCCACCTGACCGGCGCGAGGGGGCGAAGGACGTTGGCTCGTTGCCACGCCTGCAGGAAAGAGAGGGCATGAGGACCTGGCGGAGGTGCCCTTTCGCAAGGGGCGCGGCTGACGCTTTGGGGTGGGGGAGGCGGGGGGCCGGCGGGCCGCCTTGCTAATCACACATGCTGTGACGAAGGCCAGGCCTTCCCCTCTGCAGCCCACGCCCGGCCTTCGCGCGCTGTGCAGGGCTCGCAAAACAGCCCCGGCCCACGCCAGACTCTGCTGCGGCAGCGGAGGGGCGGAGAGGTGCCCAGGCCTGGGCATTTCTGCAGGAGGACCGAGCGCGGGTCAGTTCTGCCGCGCAAAACCCGTTCCCGGGATTGGGAGCGCGTGGCTCCGATGCACCAGCCAGTCCCGTGGCTCCCGAGGTTCTAGGACAGCGATGGCAAACCTTTTAGAGACCAAGGGCCCGAACTGCAACCCAAAACCCACTTACTTATCGCAAAGTGCCAACACTGCAATAAAACCTGAAAATGGAGGTTTTCGTTTAGAAAAAAAACTCTCAGCCAGTCCAAGCAAATCCCCTATGTGAGCTGTTATCCAAAGCTTGGCAGCTGTGGCACATGTGTCATAGGTTCGCCACCACTGGCCCAACCCTGCCCTGGTGCACAACCCTAACCCTAATACAGGGCTAAAGTTCCACTGAAAAGAGGGCCATTTTGAAAAAGACTTCCCTGAGGAGCTTTTCCTGCCCAGCTCATCATTGCTGCCCATTCTAAACACATTCCAACCATCAAAACCATGCCAGGACACCTCATTTTCCTAACCCTACCCTGGTGCACACCCCTAACCCTAATACAGGGCTAAAGTTCCACTGAAAAGAGGGCCATTTTGAAAAAGACTTCCCTGAGGAGCCTTTTCTGCCCAG